GACCCAGCCCTTCCCCTCCCCCTCTTTCCTGCACAGGTGTCAGAGATGAATCCCACGAGCCAGTTCCCCAGCACAACGGAATATGACTATGCATATGATGAAAACACTGCTCCGTGCAATGAAGGAAATAGTTTTCACAGGTTTAAATCCCTCTTCCTGCCAATCCTTTACTGCCTTGTGTTCGTCTTCTGCCTTCTGGGAAACTCCTTGGTCCTTTGGGTTCTTCTGACCAGGAAGAGGCTGACCACGATGACTGACATCTGCCTGCTGCACCTTGCTGCTTCTGATCTGCTCTTCGTTTTGCCTCTCCCTTTCCAAGCCCACTACGCTTCAGACCAGTGGGTTTTTGGCAATGCCATGTGCAAGATAATAGCTGGCATTTATTATACAGGTTTTTACAGCAGTATTTTCTTTATAACCCTCATGAGCATAGACAGGTATATAGCAATTGTCCATGCTGTCTATGCCGTGAGGATACGGACAGCCTCTTGTGGCATAATTATCAGTTTAATCTTGTGGCTGGTGGCTGGCTTGGCTTCTGTACCCAACATTGTATTCAATCAGCAGCTGGAGATTGAGCAGTCTGTGCAGTGCGTCCCCACATACCCCCCGGGTGGCAATACCTGGAAGGTCGCTTCCCAGTTTGGAGCCAATATCTTGGGCCTCTTGATTCCCCTCAGCATCCTTGTTTACTGCTATGCCCAGATACTGAAAAACCTGCAAAAATGCAAAAATCGGAACAAGATCAAAGCCATCAAGATGATTTTCATCATTGTCATTGTTTTCTTCCTCTTCTGGGCTCCCTTCAACATTGTACTGTTCCTAGATTCCCTGCAGAGCCTGTATGTCATCAATGACTGCAAAGCAAGCTACTGGATAGCCCTGGCCCTACAGCTGACTGAAACCATTTCTTTCATCCACTGCTGCTTGAACCCCGTGATCTATGCGTTTGCTGGGGTGATGTTCAAGGCCCATCTTAAAGGAATATTTCAGTCCTGTGTTCGTCTCTTCTCAAGTCCTGCTGGAGGCATTGCATCCAGTCAGTCCTTTTCAGCACCCAACCAGCTCTCCGGCTGCTCTGAGAGCACAGGGGTGCTGTAAACCACCTTGAGCTGCCTTCTTCTGGAGGGAATAGTTGCCCTAAGCACTGACGCAGCCCTGTACGCTATACCATGTTTGTGGCATCCTCCTGGAATGACCCAGCATGCACATGCTTCCTCTTGGGATGAGCTGTGAAATACTGCGCAGCCAGCCACAAAGGTAATTTTCTATGACCACCAGCGCACTTGTAAAATGATGACCCTCCAAGCTTGCCCAAGAATGATTTTTAGTTAATTTTTAATTAATGATTTTTAATATACTTAAGCAAACAGGGTGCTTCCTCTAGTACTTATTTTCTCCTCTGATGAAAGTATTGCTTTTGCTTTTCCTTCCCAAATACGCTCTGACTTGCAGGAGCTGTTTCATACATGAATCCCTACATCCCTGTGACAGGAATGGGACACCCCTCCAGGAGGCAGGGAAGGGGACAGATATGGGATTACTTTGTATTGCAAAGAGAGAATCGCCTCAGCCACCATCACCAGTTGCCCCCTTTGCCTCAGCTCCCAAATAAAGGGGTGACTTAGCTTAAGCCTTTGTCACTTCTCTGTGGAAAGCTCCTGGAGATCCCGGCTGGGGGTCCCTGAAGCCACTGCTGCCCAGAGCAGCCTTTCACTGCAATGCCTTCAAAAAGAGCAGATCAAGACCTCCAGTGTGTCCCCTACACCAGTCACTTGTAGCCTATATAAGCTGAATATGTCATCACCAACACAGTCTGCAAGTCTGTGTTGTCTGCAGAGGTGGTCCTCCAGTTCTGTGCCCTCACCATTTGCTGTCAAATGTAAATATCACAAAATAGCATGTATCATATCAGCTCAGAGTCTCTTTCTCCATATGTTATTTTCTGCCATTTTGGAAATATTTTCTTGAATAAAACATATTGACTGCATCTTTGTACGTTTTGGCTGCTGAAAGTTTTTCCAGTGACTTGCAATCCTAGATTAAGATAAAGAAAGGATGCTTCTTCTGATTTTTTCAGGCTGTATCCTGTAAAATACATCTGATGAAATTGAGAGGTACCCTGGAGCTTTCCAGTAAAATAAGTCTTGTTTCCACTTTCCTGCTAGGCAGCATTTGTTCTCAAAATCCCGACAAAAATTCACAATGAAAAAATAACATTTATGTTGGGGTGATATTCCTGCAATTAACGTTTTAGAAGTTGAACAAGAGAGTACCTGAAACTGTGGGAAATACTCAGCCTAAGTAGTGTTAAAGATTGTATTTTCTAGGGTAAGAAAAGGTTTACCTTTCTTCTGAAAATATAAGTGCATTTATTTTATGACTCCGAAGACTTTCAAAAATAAAGAAAGGTAGCAAGGACTTACTTCTTTCATTTGTAACAGATGGTTAACATTTGTAAATTTTATTCCCCAAATGCATAAGAAATGCACTGCAACTTAATTATCTTTTTTTATTATTTTTTTTCTGAAGACTGTTAGGTATTTAGAAAATGAAGCCCTCTATTGACATATTTTTGCTTTTCTTACTGTGCAGGCACTTTAATGATTAAAAAGATACCGAGGCCAGGATCTCAGGTCAGATACCTTCCTCCTGTGACTCTTTTGGTGTTCGGACAAAAATATTTCTGTTTAAAATGTGTAGTGAAGTTTACTGTCTTATCTGTTGATGTTCTAGATGAAAATGGAAGGGAGAAGAAACAGAAGTTTTACCTATGTTCTTTCCTATTTGGTATTTGGGGAAGAAGGGAGGATGGAAAAGTTTTCTGGCCAGCTCTCACACACTCACACTACCCTGATGAGCTGTGTCACTGCAGTTTATTTACCACAAACGCTTGGCAATCAAAAGTTTTGTTACCTGGCTGCCTGGAAAAGATGTAAGGTAGCATTGATCAAAGAGGGGGGGGCTGGTCCTATCTGGATTGCATGGGATTTACCGGACCAACGAGCTGCCTTCAGATATGAAGTATCCGTGGAGAGTGTCCTGCCTCTAGATTTTAGGAAGGGATTGGGTCCTAAATAGCAGCTTTTTGGCAGTTTTTTTTTCCTGATTGAAATTGAGCGGGTGTGAAATAGCAAACAATTTACCCTGATCAATTTGTCAAGAACTGCACCAACCCCCCCCCCCCCCCCCCCCCCCCAAAACAAAAACCAAAACAGAATCAGGCACTGCCATCATGAAATTTTGCAAGTGGGAACCTCAAATGCATCAGACACTCTTGCATCATTAAAACAGCAGTGTTTCCAGCACTAGATTAGGAAAGACAAGACAAGGACCAAACTCTTTGGTTTCTATTACTCTTTTGTATAGCTTCCACTGAAATCAAGCAGGGAGGGGAGAAGTAGCAGAATTTAGCCTAAACGACAGGTGAAGCTTTACATGATGAAGGCAAAAAGGAGGTTTTGCTGAGCTCACTGTAGAGCTTCTTCTTCCTCCTCCTCCACTGTGGCATTTGAAGCACCAGTATTTAAGAATCCCCAAAGGTAGATCGAAACCCCCATCCTCTGCTCAAGCACAGCTCAGTACCCTTGATCTTTAGTCTATCAAGGTGACAGATTCTTAGGCCTTTTCCTTTCAGAAGGGTCTTTCTGTGTCTAATGTGGCTGCAAAAAGGAGTAATGCAAGTAGCTATTTTGCTCCTTTTATTGTATGAGCTACCAGAGCAGAGGCACAAAAACACCCATCAGCACCAAAAGTACTCATACAGAGCAGAACTCTCAGAAGCACTGTGCCTCTTCTTTAAATGGGCAATCTAATTCTTAATTTTGTCAGTCCACAGGATTTTATGCTATTCTTGTTTATCATCAGCAAGTAAAGAACCTAGGTAGATGCTTAGCAAAGTTCAAAAGTTTTTGCACTTCTATGTCCTGAAACAATTGGAATAAAACAGGTAGCAGAAGGGCTATTTCCTCATTTTAAAGGGTTATGACATAAAGCAAAATTAGTAGAAGAATTTTGTAATCTACTTGTAATCAGATTGCTGGAATCAGCTAGTTTTCCTGTGCTGAGATATTGGCATCTGCAAATAACACTGCAAAAGCACTGAGGAACTTTCAAATTTGATATCATGGATTTCCTGGTCTTGCAGGTGGTAACGTGAATATATATGCCAAAGATATCTGGCCCAATCTCAATCCATTGTTTCCAGTGGAAAGTTGATTATTTTGGGGAAGGGGGTGGAATGAGGAAATTACTGCTGTGAGTAGAACAATCTCCTAATTAGATGCTGCACAACTACAGCAATTAATGTTCTCCAAGAACTGAGCTGTCACACCTACTGCGTACCTGAGTGGTATCAGATTGCCAGCTAAAGTGCTCAGTATGACTTTTCATATGTGGTAACGTTTCGCTAGCTAGTTCTAAAGTGTGTCTGAATCTGCTTGAACTTTCTACCTCTTGATTTTCATTTAACATGTTTCATAATTCTTCACTTTCCTGTTTCATGTTTCTCTGCTCTTTTGTAGTATAAAGCCTATGACACTGACAGGAAAGTCTGATCTTATTCTTCTCCAAGACCGTTTGGCAGCGTACAACAAAACACCTAAATTTGTGACTGCTCAAAAACACCTCCCAGATCTTTTTAATAAATAAAGTGTAAGAAAATTGTTTAGCGGTGCAAAGGAGAACTAGGAAAGAGAAGCCTCATACTGCTGGCTTTTCTCCAGCCTGAGAATGCAAGGTTCACAGGATTTGCAATGTTCCTCAATCATATTGGCTTGCTATGGGACAGCCCAACCGCAGGAAGAAGGGAGATTGAATTTCAGATGTGTCCATTTGGCCCACCTCCCCAAGCTGAGGTCATGAGAAACACGTTTTGATGAGGGCTCAGTAAGTCAGCTGGACCTCTCAGGAGATAAAAAAGAGTGAACATGGGAAATTATTCTCCAGGAAGAAAAATATCTTAAAGCTAAGTTCTGTCTATTCCAGAATGGTATTTTGAGGTTGTGCACATTCTTGCTCTCTCTCTTCAGCCCCATGAAGCCCCACTTTTTCCATAAGGAAAGAATGAAGAGTTGTACCTCATTTGAGAGCAGGGAAGAGCGCTGGATTGTTCTATATTCATCCGGATTTGCCCCGATACTCCAGCAGGCATTGACTTCTGTGACCTAGCTAAGCAGCTATGGCCTCCGAACCGGAACAGTGACAGAAGAACAAGGGAGACAACTCACAGAGTTTGTAGAAAATGTTTACTTACCTTAGTTTTTCCATGTTTTGGGGAGGAAAACTGGATGTTCATTTCTGACTAAATATTGGAATTTCACGTATTCAGCTTTCTGATTGCATCTCCGCAAGCTGCTGGACTAAAACTAAAGAGAAAAGCACAGGTAGGACTTTCAGTTAAGATGCTTAAGGCATATGAAAGAGGGGGAATCAACCCATAGAAACTACCTGCTGAAGCAATATCAGAAATGATGAGATACTTCAGGATGATACAGCTCTGGAAGAAAATCACGTTAAACTTCTTCTCATAATACTAAATTACCTACGCTAGCGTTCTCAGTGAGTCTGAGAAACCAATACTATTTGTCTCTGAAAAGCTAAAGAGTTCATTCACTCCCATCAGATTTATTTTGCTGCCAATTAGATGATGATGGCACTGGCCCCTTGACAGACTCCTGTCACTGACAGCTCCAAGCAGGTTTCAGGCCCTGAAACTCTCAACAGGTTGCAATAGTTGGCAACCAGTTTATGAAACTCTGAAGACATTATAGATTATTTGACAGTATCAAGGTTAGCTCACATACCAGACAGTAAAGACCTAGAAAAAGTGTCCTTTACGTGCTAGAAATCGCTTTTTTTTCCAGTGCAATTTTGATAATGGGCAGTACAGAGCCATGAAGAGAAAACAAAGTCACCTTCAAAATGAGAAACGTGCCTACACAGTATCACAAAGGGAGATCACTTCACACTATGAAGTCAAACTTTTTTGACTATGAAGTCAAAAAAGCATACTGCTGAGCTCAGGCTAATTAGCAGCTGAGTGCTATGACTAATAAGTTCATTGCTGCTCCTCGACCTAGCTTGTATGTCTCTGTACTCCACAAAGTAAACACAATTCTCCACTTATTAGGAACTATGCACCAAAAATGTCCTGAGGACTGCCTTTTGGGAAGTCACTCAGATTTGCTGGTGGTTCAGGGACATGGATATCAGTGGTCTGTAACAGTAAGGACATGAGAGATGTGAAGAAAGCCCTGACTGCGTAGCTGGGACAG